AATGAAAAAATATTTATCTCTAAGTTCAGACACTCATTAAAAGCACGGTGTGTATATATGTTTGGTGAGTAGACATTCTAGTTTATTCCCTTTGCCACTGTGAGTTCAGAACATGTTTTGGCAGTGCAAGTTCTGTTAACAATTTAAAAGAGCATTTACAACCCGGGATGCATGAAGTCCTCACCAATTTACACTTGCAGAAATACTCAGTTGTCGTGACTGCTGTAAAGTGGCTTACATAGCTGCTTTTTTCAAGTTAGATAGGATGAAGTGTAGCTTAAGACAGAAGCAAGTAAATAGAATTTTAATATGTTGCAATGTATTTATGATGGAGGAGTGAAGAAAGTGTTAATAGTTTCACAGAAGCTGTCTAGCACTTGCAGTGACATTCAGATGGAGGGGCCGAGAATCTCCCTTGGCAAGTTCTTCTAGGGGGAGGCTCAGCTCTGGAAGGAGGGAAGGGAGAACCTGCCACACAGCATGCAGCCCACGGAAGGTCTGAGAAGCAAGGATTCTCGGGAGCAGCAGCCAGAAGGACTGGAGCTGGTCAGTTTACTGACTGCAGTTTTGCTTTTGAATAATTAAATCCATTTTGATTCTTTCCTTATCAACCAGATTTGACCTACTTTTATTCTCCTTTTGTCCTAGTAGAAACCATTCTATGAACAGAAATTATTTGGAAATTTACTGTGTTCCAGAAGAAAATGCATGTGCCTGGGAGCAGGGTGGTTGCTATTCAGAGTTTTTCTGACACTTTTCAGACTGCAGACATCAGGAAGTGGGACTACTTATGGAATTAACTATTAAATTGTAGGCAGTACTTGGATAGAAACATGAATTTGGCAGTGATCCTTGGATCTGGTTTTGTAACTATCAACAGGTAGCTCTTTATGAGTTTTCACAAAATAAACCAAAATAAAATACACCCAGTATCAGTTTTCTTATTTGTGTACCAGGACTTAAAAGTCCTTTTAGATTTGTGGTTGCTTAGTCTAAACATGAGCTTCAGTAAAGCTGAAGGAATCCTATTTTTGTTAATCAAGTAGCTGAGAGAACCAAGACAAGATATGTTAAGAGAACTGGACATGGATTTGCCTTTGGATGCTGTGCTTTACTGGTCAGAAGCCTTGATCTGTAACATTTTGTCACTTATATTATTTATGAATATGTTAGGAATTTTGCTTTGTGTTGTTGAACTCGTTGAAAGATTTCATTTGGGTAAAGTAGATACATTAGTGAATGGTTAAACTGCGATGGGTACTCTGGGTATATTTCAAGCCCATCCACAGCTCTTATTTCTAAATTACTCAAGTTTCCTTGCAGGTTGGTATGAATTTCTAAATATCAGTTATATTTTATCCTGGAATAAATGCATATACAAAAATGATTAATAAGAAAGGACTGCCAATTCCTACCCAATTCCTACATCTTTCATTGAGTCCAGAAAATAAATTCAGAAAGTAGTGGTGGATTAACCATTGGAACCTCTCCACTTTGTTACTACGCTTACCAGCCCTTCTGTAGTTAGAGTAACTTAACATGTCTGAGGACATAAAAAAATGCACAGTATCTAAAGTAGACTGTAGGGGCCAGCCAAATAGCTCAGCAGATTAAAGCGCCTGCAAGCAGGAGCAGGGACCAGGAGTTCAATCCCCAGGCCTTCCATGCCGGTCCTGCCCCCAGGCTGCTCTGAGACAGCAATTGAGATGGGGCGTGGTGGTGTGTGCCTGTAATCCCAGCTCTTGGGAGGCTGTAAACAGGCGGGTCACTATGAGTCCAATCTAATAGTGAGACCCTGAACACCCTGTAGACACTTCCCTAAAATACAAAAAAAAAAAAGTACATGTCTTACTTTAATTCCAGGTGACCTGGCAATGTGGCCATGAGCCAATTAGGGAGGATACCAGTGCATGAAATATTAAAAACTAGATATTTTCCTCCTAAAAAATAAAGTTGAAAATAAGGCTGAGCTTCAAATCAGAAAGACCTCCCTTCAAAGCCTGTGTCTGCTAGCTTCCAGTTATGAACTTCATGAATTACTTCTTTTCTTCTTGCTTCAGCTTCTTGCATACTTGCTTCATGATGGGATTTTGTTAACTTGGATTTTTATCTATGGTCATTATCAGATCAGACTGATTCCCCCTGGTATTTTACTTTCATCTTTAAAATTATTTTATGTGTAGATAAAGACACAAGTTCAAAAGCACTGCATATGAAAGAGACTGCATTGCAGGGTAATTTATGTGCGCAGACACCGATGGCAGAAAATAAAGGAAAATAAAGGAGGCAGAAAGGGAAATTGTACTTCACAAACTTCTATTCTCCTTGGCTGAATGGCAACTTTCAGATAATTGCTATATTTGTGGCTCAGACATTTCCATAACTTAGCATACAATCGTCATATTATTCTTTGTCTCCACGGCTGGAGACTGAACTTTCCTAGTACATAGTACCTTTTCAGCGAATGCAGTACGTTATGTGGGTGAGGTAGAAAGGAAACGTTTTTGTTTAATATCTTGTTTCTTAGTTGTTACAGGAAATAGCCATCAGAAATAAACCCAAAAGCCAACCATATCAAGGACTTGAGAGATTCTTTACTTTTGATTCAGACGTAAGATGCAACTTGCTTCTTCCCGATGGCTCACCATATAGCTCCTCCTACAGTAGGATTCCACTTTCAGGTAAATTCAGACCTTCAATCGGCTGGCCTAGGAAACAATTTAACTATTCTCCAGGTTCTTTATTTTTATACATGATCTATCAACATCAGAGTAACAAAATTACTTTCTTCATTTGTTCTAACGGTGTTTGTAAATAGGATATCATGTCCGCATCTTGTACAGCAATTAACCACTAGGAAGAATGTATGCAATGTGTTAATTATTGGAACTGTCCTACCAATTTGGTTTGAAACTGTCTCACTGCTGTTTGTTTTTCAATAAAATTATGAAAAAAATAAATTAAAAAAGTCATTAACCCTGTGTGAGCTGCTGTATTTTTACAACTGAAGCTGCTTTCAGAATATGAGAAAACACTACAATAAAATTGGGGTAGAGTATCTTAGTATTTATTTATTTATGTATTTATTTTAGGACAGGGTCTACGGGGACTACAGGGTCTCACTGCATAGATCAGACTTGTACTGATCTGCCTGTTTATAGCCTCCCAAGTGCTGGGATTACAGGCGGGTGCTACCACGCCCAGTCCCAATCGTCCTCTCAGCATACCCCAGGCCAGTCCTGCAAGGCAGGCCACTGCATCTGCCTAAGTAGAAGCTTTAATCAGCTGAGTTATTTGGCCAGCCCTTAGAATTTAAAAGTATAGTTGCCATCATTTTAAGAGAGTACAGACTCTTTGTATCACTTCATCATTTTATGAGAATCTTTAAATTTCATCTTTTAAAAAATAAAGTCTTAGGTGAAATTCATGAGATATGATTGTAATATCCTTTTCTCACAAATGTTTCCCATTGTGGTAGAATACACAGAATTCAACCTTTATGTCCTTAATCATTTTTATCTATACAGTTCTGACATAGTAAGTAACCTTCCTAAAACTGTCCAGTCATCATTCATCTCCAGAACTGCTTCCATCACATAGAACTTAACTCTGTTCTCAGTAAACAGTAACGTCACACTTTCCTCTTCCAGTCCCAAGCAACCACCATGCTGCTGTCTGGGTCCATTTTTGTAATAAATAAGTGTAATCATACTGTACCTAATGCTTTGTGGTGAAACGAAGTTTCAGTGAACTTTGTCGTTAAGTAGTTTCCTTCACATTATAGCATGCCTAAGTCCTTTCTGTATTCCTCAATACAAAACACAAGAATACAAGAATAGGAAGCTGAAGCTCTGTCTGCCCATCTTCTTTGTGTATCTAACCCAAACTTCCAACCCCATGGGAGAGAATTGGAAAATCACTGTTAAAATTGAAAGGTGCTTTCAAAATATAAAAAAAAAAAAAATAGTTTGTTCCTTTGAAAAGCAAGACAATATTCAATTTTTGTATATTCACCACACTTTTTATTCATTAATCCCTCAGTGAACGCTTGGGCAGCTTCAGTTAATGTGAATAATGCTGTTGTGAAGATGAGTGTAAAGAAATTTGTTTTCAATATTCTGTTGTTAACTCTTTTGAGAGTATAAACAGAAGTGTACATTCTTCTTATACATAGAATAATAGCAAATTGATTTTTAATTTTTTAAAAAATTCACTTACTGAAGCTCCCAATCACTAAACCATTTTATTTTCCAACCAGTAGTGCACAGGAGTTCCTCCCAGTTGCTGCACACTCTCAAAAACTGTTGTTATTTTCTGTCTTCTTTTGTCTGAGTGGTACATCTTTGGAGTGTAAATCTGTGTTTCTCTACTGGTGATGTCATTGAGCACCTTTGAATGTACATATTAGAAATTTGTATTTATTCCTTAGAATAATGCCTATTCAAATCCTTGGCATAATGCTTTTTAAATAATTATTTATTTGGGACAGGGTCTGTCTATGCAGCTCAGATTCATAGTGATCCTCCTGTCTCAGCCTCCCCAAAACTGGGATTACAGGCACGTGCTACCACGCCCAGTCTCAGTGCGTCCTGGAGGTGGGGCCAGCACAGCACATGGGGATTGAACATCTATTGAGATTCTTAAAAATTAGGGCCCGTGGAGGTAGCTCAGTAGAATAAGCACTTGCCTGGCAAGCACAGGGTCCTGAGTTCAATTCCTGGTACAAAAAAATATGTGTTTTCAAATTTTCTACTTTATGTTGATTTTGCAATTTCACCTTTAAACCTAGGTTTTGATTTAATCCATATTACTTAGCATTTTTGAGTGTATTTATGTATAAATTATTATAAAATATACTGCACTGTCATACACCTTTAAAATAATTGTTTAGACTCATACACAGGTATATTATCTTTGCAATTCATAGCTTTTCCTTTTTAGCCAACATAGGAATTTAATGACTTTTGTTTAATAGTCATAGGATTTTGAATATCTCATATATATATATATATATATATATATATATTCCTTAATTCAGATAAGTATTGTTCAGGAAGATAATTACAATACACCAACACCATGGATGTGCCTTTCTTCATACTTTGTATTAGTTTATCTATTTCTATTTCAGGAGACAGAGAATGGATCCCAAGGAGCAGCCTGAGCGCCCATGCTGAGCACACGGCTGTTTTGGGCTCTGTGATGAGCGTCCTGTGCTCCCTGCCAACTGGGAGGCAGCAGCAGACAGGTAGGGTGGGCTGTAAGAAGACAGTGTGCATCTCTGGGCCATGGATTGACAAGTTTGTTCCCAGACACTGGTAGCCATTGGAATATTAGATTAACTATTCTTTGATTTTTTCTACATACAAAAAACCCACAATATATTTATTTATTATGCATCTCAAGACATGAATTATAGTCTTAGTTCTTTTTTATAATGATGTGTTAAGATGTAATTTATGTTTGGAACAATCCTCATGGAATACACACTCAAGTTCATTACATACACCAGAGTAATATATTTATGCCAGATTTTATATTCTTTTACTTGATTCATATTATGATTGGGTGTAATCATATACAAAATGAATGGCTGAGATTAAGTTTGCTACTTGGTACTGTGATGAGGTAGCTTGTTTCTAAATTTAGTACTTCATGTATTAACCCTAGGATTTTGATTTCAGTTCATTAACTCCACTCTACAGCCAAAGTAACTATGATTTTCCATAAGATAACTCTTTAGGGACATAGAGTATCCACCGCAATGCTTTCCTAATGTGTGTTTCCACTGGTATTATTAAGTCATTACTCTTACTTCATTATACCTGCTTAAGTACATTTGTTTTATATTGCATTTTGTATATAAAATTGCAATAGATAGCTTAATTAGGCAATTTAGCACATGTGTTGAGTATGTTAGCATTATGGAAGGCCCTGGTAGGAAAGGATGAGGAAGTTTCATTCCTCTGTGGACTTAATTTACTAGGATTACTTGACAAAAGTGGATTATTCACCTGGGTTTGGAACCTCTCTTCAAGCAAGTAATTCAGTTACAAATGATTTGTGTGTACATAGAAGATTTTTATCTCTTTTCCCCTACACATCATGATTAAATTTCCTTGGCTAGCTGAAATCCTTTCTATACGTACTTATGTTGAGAATCTGTCAGATATAATACTTTTTTTCAGTAGAAAAACCACCCATTTATATAAATGGTTTTTGGTGCTATAATTAGATATCTATTCTCACATCAGATTCTAAAGCAGTTTCAAAAATACTGGTTGCTTCTTTTGCAGGCAGTTAGAAAGCCATCATATATTCACGAAAATAAACTCATGCTTTGAGGGAAATCTATTTTTGAGACAAATATGTATAATAAGTAGCCCAATGCTTCAAGTACCAAGTTGAACAGATAAATCAAAGTCAGTAGTTTACTGTGGATAACATTTATGGAAGCACCTGCTTTAGGGCAAGCATTGACAGACAAAAGTGACACAAAATAAAGCCCTGTTCTGTGGCCCAAGAGTTCAGGATAGAGGTTCTCAAACACCACTGTGAGTGTGGTACCCTGTGAGTGCTCTTGTAATGCAGATGTCTGAATTGAACTCTTAGAGAGTCCAATTCAGACAGGCTTGGTAAGGCCTGAAAATTTGCATATGTTCACAATTCTCTGCATCTTGATATATAGTTAAAAATTCATAGAAAATTGCCATATGGATAGGCAAATCGATAAATTATCGTATAAACTATAATAAGCTTTTTGAAATGGAGCATAAATAATATACTTTTGGAAATCAATACATAATTAATGATAGTACATCCTACCAGGTATAAGGCAAGTACACATACAGCATTTTAGGAAGAGAGATGGTAAGCTAAGGAATTTGCCATTGAAAAGTGTAGCTATGCAAGATGTTAGGAACTATGTAATATTTCAAATGAGCCTTTAAAAAGTAACAATGATCAGTTAGGCGAGTTGGTTTCCTGATCAGAGGTAGTGGCTTGAAATCGATGTGTTCTTGGCTATGCCAAAGTCTTATGTTCAGAGTTGAGCAAGTATGTAAAAGAATTGCAATTTCTGTAAGATTTTTAACCTTGGTCACTAAAAATGGCACAGCTATGAAGCATTATTTGCTTAACAGCAAGGCTGTAGGGTCTCCCCATCCCCAGGAAAAATGTACCTAATTACCCACTACCTCTCTCTGTTTCTGTAAATGGAAGCATCACCCAATTAGGCCTAAAACCTGGGCATCAGGTTGCTCACATTTGACACAACCTGCTCATTTAGAAGTCCTGGTGCTTTGTCGGTCAAAATTCAGCACAATTCTTATAACCACTTTTATGTTTACTGTTCAAGATGAGCATAAGACAGTTGTCCATCATCTCTCTCTCTTGTCTTCCCATGTCAGTGTTTTACTCCCCAAATCATGTTGATCTGATTAATTTCCATCTAACTGCACTGATCATAGCTTGTGAGTAAATTACTTATTTACTTATAGTCTAACATTACTTATATTTATAGTTCATAGGGAAGGGATTCTGCCCCATAAATTTGAGCCATGAATAGTATCACGTCATTCTTTGCCTGAAGCCCTCTCATAATGCCCCACAGAAGGTAGAAAAAATATAGACATATATTCTTTCACCTGCATCACAGCCATAGCTGAGTAGTTTGCTCGTCTTTCTTGCCTGTTGCTTCTTCCATAGCGCAGCCACACTGACAGCTGTATGTTTTTAGCTAGGCTGTACTCTTGTATTCTTAGCTTTAGAATATGCTCCTTTCCAGGATGAGGGTCCTCTACAACTTTTGCTTTTATCCTCACACTCTTTTTCTTTTTAAGTGTATTTTGTACAGTGTCTCAGTATGCAGCTCAGACTCATAGTGATCCTCCTGTCTCAGCCTCCCCAGCACTGGGATTACAGGCGTGCACCACCATGCCCAGACTCAGTGGCCAGCTCAGTGTGCCTGGGGGCAGCGCCGGTGCAGCATGTGGTGTCAGGGATCAAGCCCTGGTCCCTGTGCTTGCCTAAGCAGGTGCTCAGTCTGCTGCACTATCTCACTGTCCCTTAAGCTCTTTTTTTAGTATGCCTGGTTCTTCTTCTAGCCTCATTCCAGATATGTCTTTAGAGAGTATTTTAAACCACTCTGAGTACAAATATACTCTTGCGACACTATCTTTCTCACTGTCTGAGAGTATCTTGTTAATTTTGTACTATTAAAAAGAAAGCACCCGTCTTATTCATTGATGTACAGTTATTGACAATAGGGACTGCTATGTGACAAATTCTCAGTAAATATTTCTGAATGAACAAGATAAGCTGGAGAGATTGTGTGTTAGTTTGGAGAGCAACTAGAGGCTAGGGGAAATGTTTCATTTACTTCTGAATATCCTGCTCATGACACAATGCTTGGGAGTTTCAGGACAAAATAAATGACTTTTATCATTGAATTGGATTGAGCATTAAATTACAAGTTTCGAGAATTGGAGAGTGTTTAAGAAATTACAGTGTCCAATTACTTCATGTTACAGGTGAGATATGTATTATCATGTCAGGTCATAATTTGATTTCTAATTGAGCAATTTCTAACTGAAATGAGGTAATGTAACTAGCTACCTAGTGTTTTTATTTTCACTCAGCCATACTGCTCTGTAAAATTTTGTTCAGAGCTTTTTTTCCCCTGTATTTTAGGGCAGGGAATATAGGGTGTTCAGAGTCTCACTACTAGATCAGACTTATAGTGATTCTTCTGTTTATAGCCTCCCAGGTGCTGGGATTACAGGTGCATGCCACCACGCCCAGTCTCAATTGCTGTCTCAGCTAACCCCAGGGTTGGGGCCAGCACAGCAGGCCCAGGGATTGAACCCCAGCCCTTGTGCCTGCTTGCAGGTGCTTTAATCCACTGAGCTATATGGCAAGCCCTATTTGTTCAGAGTTCTGACCACAAATAATAAATATATATTTATCTCAGCATTTTAGACAATGGGACAAGAATGTCAGTAGACAACAATGTTATGGAATTTTTTTTTATTGTTTTCTTTTCTTTTTCTTTTCTCCCCCATAATTTTATTGATAAACAAATAGCAATGAGACAGTTTCAAATCAAATTGGTAGGACAGTTTCAATAATTAGCACATTGCATACATTCTTCCTAGTGGTTAATTGCTGTACAAGATGCGGACATGATAGGAATTTCTTCAGGATAAAAATATTGGGTCCTTTTACAAGAATATTATTTGTCTCTAAAATACTACCTCAAAAGGATGTTGATGTAATTATATTTCTTCAACTGTTGTCAGTAATTTTGGGCCCTTAATATCAGTGTATTTTATCTTTCCAGTGTTGGCTTGGTTTAATTAATAATCTACAGAACGTGATTTTATAGCAAACAGTAACTAAAATTATTTTTTTTATATTTGAGTATAACTAACATCAATTTAAATCATTTTAAACTTCATCTTACCAAAGATATGGCAAGGTATTCCAAAAGTAATTTCTTATGCTTATAATCTACAGATTAATTTTTCTTATGGAATGAACACCTCAAGAATGGCATGTTTTGTCAGTGCTATTTTTAATGTTTTGTCCAGTCTTTATCAATATATAGCTAAGATTTCTGGTTAAAGGAGAGAATTATGTACTTATCTACATGAGCAACAACTAGATAAAGCAGGGACTACACTGGGGCTTCCTTGCTTTTTTATATTCTGGTTACGTTTTAAATTTTACTTGAGTGCATTTCCAGTAAGAAAGATGGTATGTCTGTCTGCTGTATGCTAAGCATAAGTCTGACCCATCCTCTGTGTATTGTTCTCTCAGTTGGGTCAATTAGCTTCAAATACTGTGGCAACCAGATGTTGTTGTAAAGGTTCAGCAAGAGTTGTACTCTCCTGAGTTTTCTGAAGGACATCTAAGTTATTTTAAATTTCTCTTACTTTATAAATTATCTCAGTGGCAGAAGCCCACTTTTTACTAAAATAACATCCTTTGCTTGTCTTATTTCATTAAGTGTTTTCAATCCCTTTAAATTTTACCCTGGGTGAGCTGTGTCCTAATATGGCATTATGGCTGTATCCAAATGCCTGCACAAAGCCTCATGTGGTCCTAGGTGGGACCTCCGAGGTGGCTGGATCCAGAGTGTGTGATGCTGGGATGGATTTACGGTGCCATGCTAGGATTAAGGGTGCCCCACCGTGGGTGTGAGTGCTACTGGCACTACGGGTGGGTAAACTGGAGAAAATGTGAGGGACAGAAAGAGCATTATCATCATGGCTTGCTCTCATTAGTTCCCTGCTGTGGTGCTTTCCTGCCTCCTTCCCACCATTAACTGTTTTTTCTCTGCAACACTCCTCTGGCAATCCACCTTGCCTTGAAGTCGGATGACCACGGACTGAAACCTCTACAAATTGGGAGCTGAAGGAAAGTTTTTCTCTTTATTTGAGTGTTGGCTATTTTGGCTCAACAATGATGAAACTAAGATACTCAGAAAGGAGAGTGTGGTCTCCTCTGGAGATTCAGCACCTTTGAGTTTCACCCACAGTCTGGTCCTTGTGCTGCTCCTCCACTGCAGCTTCATTTCAGAGCAGGGGTAGGGCTTGCTTTCCTTGAAGGGTACAGATAAAATATTGATTCTTTGACTATTATAGA